CCAGCCTTCTGGTTAGCAGTCAAGTGCCTTAGGCACTATAGTAAGTCTAATACCCTTACATTCTGTTAGGTTACCTCAGCTAGGGATTCAACTTGCTTTGAGAGCTCTGAGATCGAGAGTTCTTGTCTACTTAAATCCATGTTGATGCTTTGGGTTAGTCCCCTCAAGCCTTTGTCTTGGATGATAAGGGCCAAGATTCCTGTGGCTGCAGATCCTGCAATTCTCAATCCCACAAGTAGGGGGATTAATATGGGTACTTTTTTATGCCTAAGGTATCTGGGGCTATTAGTAAGGCTAGGCCAGGATCTCCTTCATATACATCGATCTGGGGTAACACATGTACTAAGGTGCATGTTATTCAGAAATACTGAATGCATAAGTAGATATACATATGTCTAGGCCAAATGAGCAAGAAAACCAAGTGTTTTGGGGAGTATGGATCTACATAGGGGTTCCATTGTATGTCACGATTATGGTCCAGTTACAATAGGTAGTAAATCAGGATTGAGACACCTCATAACGAGGAGAAATAAAACAATTTCCAGGTCCCTTTAAGTCTCCTAACATGAGATGAATGCTATGGGAAGTACATTTTTTGCCAACAAAGTGGGGAACAGATTGGGTTCCTAAACCTACATAAAAAGGGGTTTCAGGTCAAGGCAAAGCCAGCAATTTTGGGTAAGATTGGGCTTGGTATAATTTAAGGTTGTGAAGGCGTTCATAAGTAGGTTAAATAGTGGGGAATTTTGATTCATTTTGGGGGTGGGTAGAATCAGTGATAGAGGGTTTTCAGGTTCTAGGGGTGCCACCTGGGGTTGTTGTCTCTTGGATGAAAATTGTTGTCCCTGGGACAACACATCTGCCACTGTTCCAGAGGTTATTCTTGTATGGAACAGTTCTTGCCTCTGGATTGTGAAAAGATTTACCCTATTCTTTCCAGATTCATATAACCAAATCCCCCAGGTTTGTCCTCCTTTCCATGTCTGGGTTTGGGCCTGGAGTACAGTAAAGTTTAAAGGATTACACCATCTTACTGTACAGGGGCATGGTGATTGGAATTGATGGGCTTGCATATACTTATCTTTTTGACTCCAATAATTATTAATGTAGAAATGGTCTCACAGCCCCACTGTGGGCAGTACAATTCTGGGTTATTACATTTCCAAATGTGTTGGCTGTGTGATCCAGGATAGATATAAATCCCTATTCTCTGGAGTTTCTCTTCTGATTTCAGATCACCCAGCCTGGTGTATGGCAGTGGGTTGGTGAGTTTGCTCTATACCTCCCACCGAGGTTTCCATAGCTGGCAAACCTTCCATAGGGGTTCCCATAGTTAGTGACTGTCCATGAGTAACTCCTTCCTACCCTGGGATATACTAAGGCACACAAATCTACTTTCAAACCAAAAGTTTCAAGGTCGTCACGCTTAGTGGCCTTGAAGACCACTTGTCCTGTGGTACCTTCAATTACTGTCCATTGAAACTGGGTGGGTGATATTTTCTTTCTTTCTTTTTTTTTTTGACTCCACCATTTAGAAATTTATTCTCAGAAAATAACAGAGAGGTAGACCACAACATTCCCCTCAACATTAATAAAATAACCAAGAATTATAGAGAATCCAAATATTAACAACAGGGAACTGATATAGCTACAGCCATATGGTGGACATATGATGGAACATATACTTACATTAAAAACAGTGTTAAAAAATGTCAGCTACATAGGAAAGTGCTCATGATAGTTAAGTGAAAAAAAACTAGCATATTAAAATGGATATGGAATTAAACTAAACATGTGTAAGTGTGTTTTATATACAAAATGCCAGAATGAATCACTGGTGCTCATCTCTTGATCACAAGATTAGTGACATTTTTGTTTTTCTGTATCTTCTAATTTTTCTAAAATAGCATTTTTATGATGAGAAATATTTTTTTTTCCTCATAAAATGACTAGATTGTTTTCCTTTAAAATGTATTAAAATTTAAAGATTACACAAGAGATAGGGATTACATCTTTTAGTTACATAGGATTGGTGATGGTTCATTCAAACAACCTTTGAGGAAAACTGTTTTTAAAAGGAAAACAAGCCAAAATCTCAAAAAAAAAAACCCTCTCAAAGACTTATCAATAATATTTAATGCCAGAGGACACCATGACCTTTGTTTAAAATTCCTATCCCTAGACTCCACCCCTAGAAATTCTGATTTTCAAAAGTCTGAAGTGGGGCAAAAAAAAAAAAAAAAACTCACTGCTGTAGAATCATCAGACTCATAGCAACCCCTCCTTGGGTTTCTGAGGTGGTATCTCTAGGGAAGTAGATTGCCCAACCTTCCTTTCGAGGAGTGGCTGGTGGGTCTGATTTTAACCACAAACTTAAGTAAAAGACATGCAACCAGGTCTGAGACCCACTGAACACTGATGGTTTTTAAAAAAGAGACCACCACCACTACTGCTTTAGCTCTTCCACACTGAATAAAAGAACTTCCAAGTCATGGTTAGTACTCAAATCATTTGCATGCACTTTGGCAAAAGCACACTTATTAGTTCAGCTTTAAGTAGATCATAAATACTTGTTATACTAAGTGGCACAAAAATATAACAAGAGAGCTAGTTTTATTTCCCCCTACTGGGAAGATTATGTAACAGTTCAGTACAATTAGTACTTCTCTTTAACAAGTGTTTTCAATCTTATCAAAGCTACTGACCTTCTCTCTCAAAAATAAAGACATCTACACATAAACACATATTCAGGTGTGTAGTCTCCATAAAAGCCAACCTTGTTGTTGTTTTTATGTGCTGTTGAGTCGGACCCAACTCATAGACTCATAGTGACCCCTCCTTGGGTTTCCCAGGTG